TGTAATTTAAATATTATTCGAGGTTCAGGAGGTCGATATTATCACGGAAAAATTTCGCGCTACCCTGATTTGAGATAAAGACTGGCGGTTGCTCTGTGAGTCCTTCCTACTTACGTTGTAATCACTGCATCCTTCAAAACAGATTTAAATTAATCCACGAAAGGGCCTGTCACCTCATTCGATCAGTTTCCTTAGTAGTCAACGCCCATGGTTCCTGAAAAGCCTTTGCGGCTACGCTAGAGATTGAATACAAGACATTCTCCAGCACTTCACCGTGACTTGCGTTCCCTCTTAAATAATGGTGAGGTTGGATTTATGGAACACAGCCTACAATTTACTCAATATTATTTAAACAGATAGGCTATGGCAATAGCTTCTGACCTCCTAAAATTTTGAATAGATCAATGGCCAAGGGGTGTTAATGCAACTATAGACGATCACCTCTAGCTTTTAGAAGATTCCGTTGCCTCCTCCACTGCGCCTGCTGTTCGTCTCAATAATGCATGCTTATGGTTTATACGACCTACCCAAATTAATGCGGATTTTGCTCACCTCTCATCGAGACTTTGATGTAACATTATAAGAGCTGGAATAGTAGTTGAAATCACAATAAATATAATCATGTGAAACTAGAATTATGTGGGAAATAGCTTGTTCATAAAACGACTGGTGGTCGGTGGTCAGACGAACTTGGGGCTAAAGTCCGAGGTTTGATTCGTGGTAGTACGGAAGTATGAACGTCTGGGAAAGTAAACCAGTCGTTTCTCAAAGTGCCGTTTTTGCTCTGGTTGGACTATCGCGAAGCAAGCAGTTGCATGGGTTCTACAGAAAGTTTATGTAACATTAAACTGTGGGTAACAAAGAACGCCGATTGTGTTCCGATCGATTCCGGAATGCGTAGCAGCTGTTGTAACCTGACTCGATTCGATACATCACGGTCTCTGGCCACGTGTTTCTGATGCCGACTTCCGCCGTGGTCCGTCCTCAATTCCTCAGAAGACACCGCCGTGTCGCACCGAAGGGTGAAATTATTCTGACGCTCCAGACAGTAAGTCGACCGTCCTTCGGCCATAAGCCAAGCTTGCAGGCATTATGAAATATAATTAATAAAACAGCCGTTTCCTTCGGTTTACACTTTATTATATCATAAAATCACTGTCGGTTAGTGAATCCCGGTTTTCGGCATCAGCATGAACGAAGCCAAAGAGCATGCTGAAGATGTCATCAAGGTGCAAAAGTCGAGGAGTTCTTAAATACACTGTTCAGCGTCCCCTATGCCATTACGGTACTGCAACACATTAGTAACTACAATCAGTGAATGCTATATTCTTGGTATCAATTGTTGGTACAGTCACCAGAGAGGACTGTTCTCTTGGGCTAAAACAGTTTTTAGGAATTTTCAAGCATCCTTTAAGGGAACGTAAGAAACAGTCAACATAATGTTCAGCCATAGCAGGAGCGCCTTGAAAGTCAGGGCGAATATTTTTCGTTTGGCTGTCAAAAGAACAGTTTTAAAGAGATCACTTGAATTCTTTATGAAGATTCAAAGTTCCTCATTGCCTTCCTCAAAAGATTTACAGCACGAAAAACATTGCTGACGTTGTCTTCGAATATTATTGCCATATAATGTTCTATGAAGATGGAAGAACGATCCGAAGCGTTGCGTTTTCATGTCCAATAAAATTTATATTCGGGGCAGACGCTTTGAAGACCTTTGCGATGATAAATAATGAAAGCATAAGTACAACATTGGAGGGTACCGTCACAGGAAGCGACATCGAATATATTGCGTGACGTTGCAGCACATTTAGACGAGTGTGAAGCGCAAGCATTCGAAGATAGGCGTATGAAAGTGTGGAAGACAGGAAAGAAAAGGCAAACGTGAGAGCGTGAGAAAAGCGTCAGAAGACACTAGGTGATTTATTTATTTATGGACGTAGGGCCAAGGGGTTCCTTTCTTTTCTCATTTAGACCTTGGAAGCGGCTACAGCTGGTTCACTGCAGCACGGCTAACCTCATTGACCTTCAGAATAAAGTCCGTTGCACATCCAAATAGATAGATAATCATAAGCGTTTCTTGTGACATGTTCTCCATGAGGTAAACGAGGATGCAAGAAGGAGCAGACGGAGGCGGTGAAAGTGGAGATTGAGAAAAATCAGGACGAACGTGAAGATGGAACATAACGGAAACACATCAGGTGAGAATGAAGAAGAGGACGAAAAAAGACCAGTATGATAACGAGAATGAGGTGATAGTTGAGAAAACGAAGAAGAATGTAGAGATATGTAAGATACCCTCGGGTGCCTTCAGTTTGCTCAGAATTTTGGCATTTCCATCTAAAGGTTGTTGGTTATCTCCAGTCATACGCAAAATGTATCGGATGACTAAACCGTTATCACGTCATACAGTATAATAGATGTTATGCTCTGTTCAGAAGGCTAACGAAGTGATTATGATTTTGTGTGAGGTAATATCCTGGTGCCTTAAGCAATATTCTGGTTGCGGTTCACTCAGCATTTTTTGGAGCTTCCCTTGGTCCAGTGCTAGCGTTGCCATTCTCTGTTCAGAGACGAGTAAATGTCATCGTGCTTTCTTAGAGATTAATGAGTACATCATTTTGAACGAGCTGATAGTCAGACCCAGACCATCCTTATGTATGGAGTTCGGTCGGTTGTAAGTTTTGGCAAATAATCTCCTCTGGTCCCCTGAACCACATCAGTGATAAGAACGTCACACGACAAAGGATTCCTGTTGTTAAAGAATGTGAAAGATTGACAGGGAGAGACAAAACGAATCATAAACACTAATAGCTAAAGGTCTCGACCTTCGGCTATGGAGCTATTGTCAAAATTTCGTTTGCTGGATGAGTTTATCGTGAAGTTTGTGTTGTCTTCTGTCCGCTAAGGTAGCAAATTGGTCGTCGACATTACCTTTTCAAAAGAAATCCTCCCCGCACAGTTTCTGCTGACCAACTGTAATGGGATTATTCTCTACCAAAGGCAGATATCGGTGCTCAGCCAAACAAACTTGATTGATTGATTATAGCCGTCGTTCAACTGGAGCAATTTTCTGAATTCTGAATCACCTGAATACGATGGTACCTGATTTCAGCAGTTAACTTTAATTTTAGGTCTGTTGATGAAATTATTTTTGACCCATCACTCCGTCTATCGAGTTTCTATTTTAAAGCCGTTTCACTTGAGTTCTGGCCCCTGTCCTAAATATGAGGTCTAAAAAAGACAGAGATGCAAATGTGTTTATGGTATGCGCATTTATTTAACCTCATGTTTACCATGTACCGCCACAGCTTTTATCTCGCTTACATTCCGGACGTTGCAACTGAATAAATTAGCCCTTACCGACGCCTGGGCGACGAAGTGTCGGAGGAGGCGGCGGCAGCCACTGCAGAGCTTGCTCGAATCGACCTTGAGACAGACCGTTCGTCGTGGCCGAGCAGCCACCCTGGTGCGTCATCGTGACTCGTCCCCTGTTACTCAATTGACGCCACAACGGCGCCTTCTCAGCCACTTATAGTTGACGGACAGCCGTGATTAATACGTGTACTCGATTCATATGTTATTGTACGCGTTTCGTGCCCAGGTGGGGCCGAGACCGGTCGACGCCACCAGGCCGGGATCAAAGGCTACCTCTGAGTGCCGGTGCCTCGTAACCGAAACAAAGCTGACCATAATCGCTTGTTTGTCTTCCCGCACTACTTGAAACGACCAGCTGTGTGCCAGCACTCCATTTCGGGGCAAGGGAAGGTCAGGTCCACCTGCACGCACGTCCATCCCCCTCCGTCGGCATGCTGCTGCCGGGATGGCAGGCTATGGTAATCGTTTTGCATCGCCCAGCGGGCGTGCCTCATTACAACGACGACTGAACGGTGCATAAGACAGAAATTGTCTCCAAGTTTATGCACCATACTCCAGATTTCCTTGAGTCTTGAGAGTAACTAGTACCGTTTTGCTGTTTCGAACGTAATATTTTCGAGTTGGTAAAAGTTCTAGGACGAAATCTCTACAAAAATCCATCCATGGTCGATATGAATATAAAATGAAATGGCTTTTCTATGACTAATAAAAATTGACTGCCGTGTTATGAGGTTACTGGAAAACTGCTAGTTTTCGAAACCACTCATAAGAATCGTAAACTCCTGTCAATTCTTCCGATTCATACGAAATAGCCCATGTGCTGCAGGTACTAAAACGCCATGGAGCTGTGGTCTGTCTAAACGATTGTCCGGTGTACTAGAAGGAAAGATACGAGGCGAATGCGAGAAACACGAAGAAGTGATAAGAGATGGTCTACCGCCGTTCACCATGTTAACCTTAAATAGACACTGCCAATATATTCGTTGGTCGAATGTCAGACTCCGAAAGACCAAACAGCGTGCAGGATAATAAGACTATTAATTGTAGAATACCAGTTTGTCTTCGTTTTACATTAACTTTGTCCGGATCACTCGTCTTTCTTCCCTCCGAGGTTCATAAATCAATGTTACTGTAATAAACGAATGAGAGGGAAACAGGAGAATACCGAACTATGCTTGTCGCGTAGCTGCTGTCGTTTTCGCCTTAAAAATTATGGCACTCCTGGCTGATAACATGAAAATGGAGATCAGCGATCCCACTACTAACTCGATGAAAACAAATATGCTACAATTGGCCTCATCATGATACGAAGATCGACCTTCCAATGGTTACAGACGTTGCTTTCACCTTGTCACAGTTACAATTATGCCCATTTGTTCATGGTGCTCTAGTTTGTTTTCCTGGATATAACATCTCTGATATGAATCTGATTTATGGATATAAATTCTGATGCAACCGTGATCCTTCAGCAACTTATTGTTCATGCTTTTGACACCGCTTCATTGACAGCTAGTTCATCAGCTGCTTCCTAGTTTAATTAGGTTAAGTTTTACACAGAGACGATGACGGTTTGAGCAAATAATCAGGATGGCAAAAAACACTAGAAAGACATGCCGTTTTCGCTAACCACATAAACGATCAAGGGTCAGATAGTTTGAGTAACTAGCATTGTTCAGTTCCCTAGAGTCAAACCAGTGAAGCTTGCCCAATTAGCGAAGGATGGATTCTTCGTGAAGCTGCTGTCGT